CAATCGATGATTATCGCATTTTTAATAATGGTATATATATATATATATATAAGCGATCGTAACCCTCGAATAAGCAATTTGGGGAGAAGACCGATTCCATGTCTGGACCCAACTCCCTCCTCCTCTTTTCAGTTGTCTAGGAATGATATTACTACGATATTTTCTCTTTTTTCTTAATATTTTCTGTATTTAACTATCAAAAATATTCCACAATGCTTTTCTTCAGAACTATGTTTAATGTAGTTTTCACAGTTCCATATAGTTTTCTAACTTAAAAGATTTCAAAATAGAGACTAAAGTACTTCCTTCTCCTAAGACTCTCCACACGCTAATGGTGAAAGCATTGTTGCCTGAATTTAATAAAGGCTTTTAGTTTGGTTCATTACTTACATTGTTTTTGAAAATAAATGTTTCTCTTCTGATCACAGATATAGCGTCAAAGGTTGTGTTGCATGTAGAGGGTGGCTGTCTCGGGGGAGGTCTGTCCACTGGATGCGTGCCACCTGGATGTCCAGGAATCGGCCGCCGCGTCGGCGTGCTCGTCGTTGGTGGTGGAATGTATGGAGAAAGTGGCACCCACTTTGTTGGGTTCCTGGCCCCTGAAAATAATCATTGCAGGAAATGATGTCCCAGATAGCAAAATAAGGTTAATTTAACTCAGAAAAAACCTTTTAATGTAAACCTAAAAGGGTTTGTTACGCGTAAACCTTCTAACCTTAAAACGAGATCTGTGACATACTGCTCTATTCTAAGTACATTATCCTCTTTCATAACTTTGGAAAACAACCTTTTATATAAGAACCTTAAATCGAGGTTGACTTAGGGTTTTCAAGCCTGAAAAACCTTTCATAAAGCTAGTGTGTAAATAATCTTAAATCCGAGGTCATTATAAGGTTTCTTTTCGCAAATTCTTGTATGCTCAGCTAAAATCCACCTTGTCATGAAATTTTAACGGAGAATGCCATTGGATCCTCTATAGCTAGTGTGACGTCACTTAAAACGTCATCATAGACCTCAGTGACTTTCTTTTTACCCAAGTGACAATATTTTTTTTTAAAAAAAAAAAAGCTCTGAAAAATAATCCTTTTAGAATGAAAGGCTTGAAACTGCACTTTATTGAGAAATGGTTTTTAGTGCAGATATATTCGCGACAATAAAAAGAAAATTCTGCCTTTAAGATGTTTTCTGACGTTGTCTCCTACAAATACAGTAAAGAGAACAACTATTTATAGGGAAAAGAACAAACAGATTGAACTTTAAATAGGCAAAAGAATTTCTTGACACTGATGTCATGATTTGAAAAATTGACAATTTGGTTGTGAGATGAACTAAAGAAGTTAGATCTATCTACTATTTATATATATGTTAGGGCTAATGACCGAAATCAAGAGACTTTCACCGGTCAAATATTTCTTACATCCGATTTGATATTAATTCGATATCTGCTGAGGATAGAAACACCATCACTGTTCGGATATCCTGGACAAATGTGTGTCGGGCAGTAGCACTGAACCTTAAGAAAAACATGAGTGTAGGGTATACCGGGCAGAGGCTAGACCTAGTATATGTTTCAGAATGTCAACAACTACCAATTTCGGTCATTCACAACATCTCTGTTATAATTTTGGTGTATTCATACTAAGAAAGTGCAGTCTCAAATCCATAATAAGTTAACAAAAGGTTTATTAAAAGATATGCTGGTGGTTATAACAGTTCACATCCGCCCTCCTCAGTGGACAAGACTCCGGACAGATGTTTTGTGGAACACGTTATTCAGCAAGAGACATGCGAAAACCTTCGCTCTCACATTAAATACTACAGATATTGGTGTACTTAGGTCCCAGTCGTACATGGCTTTGTAACTCTACGCACTATGGCAAATCATTTAATGCTTCCTAATATGGAAGTGAAAGAGGAACAACATTCTAAAAATAACTCCTCCTTTCAAATATAAATCTAATTATTATTCAATGGCATGTTTTCAGCCTTGAATTCTCAAAATAGAATAGCTCTACGCTTACTCTTTAACAANAAATACACAAGTGGGCGACCTTTGTGCTAAAATACAAACTAAGTTAGACAACGTTAAAGAGCACAAAAATATTATTAAAAGCAGACAGCTTTTTCTTTCTTTCTTGATGCACTGATGAAGGTTGCCCTTTGAGTATCCGAAACAGCTGTCTGCTTTTAATGATATTTTTGTGCTCTTTAACGTTGTCTAACTTAGTTTGTATTATCCGATAGATCGGCACATTGATAGCCCGAATCACAAATAGGTTGCCATCGACAATAGAACATTCTACTAAGAACAAATAATAATAAATAACAACAAATAATAATAAATAAACAAATAATGGAAATTTATTTTAACATAATTGTGCCGTTATAATACACTTCTTTCAATTTCGGTGCATGATTTGATAGTGTTGCTCAATGCTGATTGATTCATTAGTTTCTTGTTTTATTCACCCCCCGTACAACGAGCGGGTATTCATCACCTAGTGTTATATAATTGTTTTTAAATTTAAAAAAAATAAGCTATTAATATAACGTCGCAATTAAAAATTATCAAACAAGAACAATCAAATCTTAAGTTTTAAGTTATCAGACATGCTCGTTTTTATAAACCCTTTTATTTCAAATGGACTAAAAAGAGAAAATAATCTTAATTTTGTCGCAAATATTGTTTGAGAAACGTTAGGTAATAATAGAACATTATTTTTGTAGTTCCTTTACGTCGCACAAGAACTTAACAACGGGCTATTGGCGACGGTCTGGGAAACATCCCTGCGGATGATCCGAAGACATGCCATTGCAGTTTTGATATTTAGCAGATCAGATGGCCGCTTCGGTAGCCCGACGACCTGCACACAAAGTCGAACACTTGACGGTAGAACAGTTTAACGAGGAACCATACCGCACACCCTCGATCCCTACTCAGACTAATCCAAGCGGTCAACCACCCGTACAGTGGAACGTTGGGAAAATACTTGAAGTGAATTGGGTGCTTAAAACAAAACACATGGTTGCGTATAATCACGTGGTTGTGCATGGTGTGTTTACGTTATTGCTTTAACGCTTGAGTTTATTATTACGCTGAATTATTTTTCAGAACAAATTTAATTAGATACCTGCAAGTGACGTCACGCGTGTGTATAGAACCTTATATCGAGTGCAAATCATAAAAGTTCGTTAGAAGCATGACAAAAATATAAAATTATTTTCTCTTTTTTCCGTCCACCATAAAAAAAAAACAACTTATTATTATTTTCTTCTTTTCAGTTTTGCGTTTTTTAAAAATTTATTTCGTTATGTGGTCAAAATTTCGATTGATAATAAATTTTGCTTGTAGATATCAAAAAACAATTGAAACTGACAAAGAGACCAGTAGAAATTCACTACTTGTAAAGAAATCGAAATTTTAATCCAAACGATTTATTTGATTGAATTAATTTGATTTTAAATATTTCCTATTAAAAAAAATTATACGAATAGAATCGTGGTTTTTTGCAAAATGAGATTACAAAGAATTTTTTGTTTCCAATAAATACAGGGTATCTGCTACATTTCATGACTTTCCATCACTCATTTCAAGGATTTTTCATGACTTAAAGAAGTTACTATTTTCAGATCATACCGCTTNTTATTTGATTGAATTAATTTGATTTTAAATATTTCCTATTAAAAAAAATTATACGAATAGAATCGTGGTTTTTTGCAAAATGAGATTACAAAAAATTTTTTGTTTCCAATAAATACAGGGTATCTGCACTACATTTCATGACTTTCCATGACTCATTTCAAGGATTTTTCATGACTTATACTATTTTCTCCGACAAAAACACAACAACAAATTTAAAAAAAATAAACATTAATTATTTTTTTTTCAATGGCGGGCACTTGGAACTATTGTCCATCAGCCACAGAAAGTGCCAGAACTGCTAACTCTCTTTTCGTTACCCAGTGGGCACCTGTGGCGTAGGGACGGCGGTGGAGCAGCGTCACCCACGCCACTCTACCACAACCCATTTATAGGGCGGGTCACATTCACACAAAGAAGGAGAAAGGACATAAAACACAGATAGAGAGAAAGAAACATCCATGCCTTGCCCGGGATTCGAACTCAGAACCTTTCTGATGCAAGGAGAGTTCCCTGCCCCCTACACAGGACGGTCGGCGTAACATTAATTATAATGATAGGTATATAGCTGAAAAAAATTGAAAAGCAAATAATATTTTTTTCTTTTTTTGTGAAGAATTATATTCTAAAGATGCTTTTCTTGTTCATCAGAAAGGAAAGAAATACTCCTGATTTTTCTGTTCTCATTTCGGAATATAAAAAAAAATCACGAATGACTGGCTTGCTTCAGCTAGAATTTTAAACTGATGAAATAAAAATAATAATTAATAACAAAATTCTAAAATTACAGAAAGTTTAAAAGATAATTCAGTCTAGAAATGATGTTTTTTCTTTCATTTTTTGAAAGAACACCATCATTTTTTATAGAACACAATCGAAACATTTTACCTTTCAATAACATTTTACACTTATACCGCATAGGCCTTTCCACCCCGCCTTTTTGTCCACTTTGTAAATCTCGAGAGAAATCGAACAGGGACCACCTGCTTCTATGTGGGGCCCTTCATGGACACACTGAGTCCTCAAGATATTGGGAAGCAAGAGAACTTTTAAGGCAATGACTTCGGTCTTCTTTCTTTGTTGTCCTACGTACATTTGTATTCGTTATTTATTTCATCTTTCTATTTGTACCTTTTTGCCTTGCCATTGGAAATAAAATAAAAAAAATTTAAAAAAAAAACAAAAACAAAAACATTTTAATGAAATATAGTGGGGATTTTGTGACAAATTCAGATATTCCGAACACCATGAAATTGAGAAGGGGGTAAATTCCATTTTATAAATTAGATTTCTCGGCGAACTAAATCCATGACTTTCCATGATTTTTTTTTGAAAAAATATTTAAAATCAAGACATTTCATGACAAATTTTGCTCAATAGCGAAATTCATGATTTCTCATGGTGCGCAGATACCCTGTAAATAGTGAGGCTAGAGAGATAATATCATACCATAGAGCATCTGTATGCCGACAGTGTCATCGTGGGGTAGTTGAAAGTTGTCCTGAATGACTTGATAGAATGGATTCATAAGAGCTCCAGACACCGATGAATGGGAAAGGCCCAGGGAATGTCCAAACTCATGAGCGGCCACAGCAAACAACCTCACACCTTTTGAAAAAAAGAATTAATGAATTAAGACAAATCATCTAAATGAGAAATCAATCGTTATATGCAAAACTAAAATGAAATTTCCATATAGACACACTAAGCAATATGTAACTCGTTTAACAAGAAAGGAAGAGTCTCTCATTTTTGTAATTCTTTCTCACTATTGATTAACCAAAAGTTAAATAAAGACGCACTATTTTATTTTATACCCGTCGTTAAACAGCCGACCCAATTTTTGAGTTGACGACTACTCATGTTCAACTCCGTAGCCTTCTGTCATTTTGATCCTAATCCAGCAGACAAGGGAACTCCTGGATCTGTAACCCCAGAGGTATTGATTTGTATGGGAACATGCAGGACTTTGCGACCCGACAGATTTAAAGTGCATCAGTCACCATTTACTATACATCCTATGCCCTGGCGGTCTTCGACCGGTTGGGATCGAACCCACGAAATCTTGGACATGGGCCCAGTGTCCTACCCACCAAGCTCTCCCGAACCAAAGGTAAATTGGCGTGCGATAGATTAATTTTATGTGTGCTTTCTGAAGAAAAAAAAATATCCTAAAAATGGCGAAATTTTTTTGCCGAATAGCGAAAATCTTAAAGAGGTAGCAGCGATCTCAAATTTCTTCTGTCATCGCCTGGAAATGTAGTAGGGTTCGGCACGATTAGAAAACATTGATGTGTCAACAAGTCTTCGAATGGGTAAAGAAGAAGAGAAAAATAATTTTCGTACAATTGAGACCACACTCTCCAATGACTCTATTATCATTTCGTCAAGTGTTAAAACATTTTTCTTCTTCTTCTTTTAACATTTACTTAACGAAATGATAAAAGAGTCATTGGAGAGTGTGGTCTCAATTGTACGAAAATTATTTTTCAAGAGTGAGATTCTATTTTTTAACATGCTTTTACTGCTGTTTCAATCTTTATACGTCTGGTTTGAAAGACCTTTGAATATCGCAGGCAGGGAAATGTTTATACTGTAACGCTAAAAGAATAAAATCCTTGAAAAGAGAATAAAATCCAAAGTTGGATAGGATGCATTTCATTTCGAATATTTGATTTTATATTTGTAAATAAATAATTTTAATTCTAATCACATATTCATTTTAAAAGTATCACTACATTATGAATGATTTTTCCAAAACATATTTCGATAGCATATTGCCAGCTGATTAATAAGCCGTTAAATCTGTCGAAGTCCTTTTGTGTGGAAGCTAATAGCAAATACGGAGGGAGAAAAAAATTATAAATGCAAAGGTTGTGAAATTCTAAATATTTTTTGAAAGTCCTAAACTTGCTTTTTTTTTTTTATAATCTTTTTTGTGATCATTTTTGATGAATTTTATTAATTTTGCGTCGCAATAGCTACGCAGCAACATAACTTTGATTTTATCTCTCACACATTCTTTTCAACGTTATCGAGCATTTTATGTTCATTCATGTTTAAATACTAAGAAAAACAATGAGAGGCTTGCAAAAAAAAGAAGGAAAAAAAAACATTTTTTCCTGTGCGCGCAAAATGTTCGGAGGAGTGACGACAAAAATAATGAGTCCCTGCACATTGTGAGTCGCTTTTCTTTTACCCTGAGATGATGCAGACCCATTATTAGAATAAACTATTTATATTTCACTTCGACAGCAAGGCGAAGAAAAAAATACCCAGAAGGAAAAAAAGAAATAGGGGCAAAAAAATACTTAATTATGAGAAAAGGATCGGTTAGAGCAGTGTTTCCCAAAGTGTGGTACGGGAACAGTTTAGCGGGGGAACGCGTTCTTATGCAAAATATCTTGCAACAAACCACAATTTCAAAAAATTTTATTTAAAAACAAAACAAGCCATGAAAATTTACGATTACGTAATTTTCTATTGGCTATTTTTTGCAGAGTTTAAAGTTAATAATTAGAGGTGTCAACACCCAGTTGTGATTTTTAACTTTTGGGCAATTTTTTTATAGTAAAAAATACATTCATTTTTTTATTAGTGGTACACAGCGTTACGAAAAATTTAGAAAGGGTACACTCGAGTCATAAGTTTGGGAAACACTGGGTTAGAGGGAGGAAATTCATGAGGGAGGGGCAGAGATTGTGAGAACAATAACCCTATTACAACATGAAAAAAAAGACTGACTAACGTGGTCAAATAACACGTTCGTAAAAGATTTTAGAATATGTGGAGAAAAAAACACGACTCTTTTAAATTAGTTTTATTACAAAACCTATCATTCAAGCAGCCCAGAAATCACGAATTTCATAATAATAATAATAATGGGATTCTTGTCGGAGATACGTATAACAGCATTATGTATCGAACAACTCCATAAAACAAATATGTACAAGTCATAATAATCTTAGTAAATAGATACTTCTGAAATAAATGATTTATTATTATAAATATTTATGGTGAAATATGTACTATCAGGTGTCCCCCCCCGCCAACTGCTCGCTCTAATCCCCAAGCACCATAATTACTTCTTATTGATCACTGTTTTTTTTCTTCTTCTTAATGCAAAATGATTCTACTAACCCGTTACGTGAACTTCAATTTCGTTACTGTATTTCTTGTTGTGAAATAAAGGTTTTATAAAAACAGAACTGTTTCTTAATATTCGTTACACCATAAAGTATAGAAGTTATAAAGTATAGTTTCTTAATATTCGTTACACCATAAAGTATCTTTTGTTCAAAGAAATAATGTTTTGCAAAACTGAAGTACGTACAAAGATATAATATATTTGATATTATATAATATTATATTTGATATACTTATAATGTATATATTATATTTACAGTTATAATATGTTTGAGTTATATATATATTATAGTATTACATGCAAAAATAAAGGTTTGAGGGTTGGCGAAATGGGCGAACATAGTGGAAACAGGAATGGCGACACCAAAACGTAATGAAATTTCAATAAAACATTGAAAATTCTAAATGACCAGCAGGCCTGGTGGGTAGGGTCCCATGTCCAAGAGTTCGTCGATTCGAAGACTCCCCGTGTAGTAAATGGTGACGGATGCACGTGAAATCTATCGAGTCGCAAAGTCCCCCGGGTACCCATAACAAATCAATACCTCTGGGGGTACTGATCCAGGAGTTTCCTTGTCCTCTGGATGAGGTTCAAAATGACGAGGCTACGCAGTTGCACATCAGTAGTCGTCAATCCAAAAATTGGGTCGGCTGTTCAACGACGGTTATAAAATTATCTTGAGTCGCGATGGTGGGTCGATACGAAATCCGTATCCGGCTTGCACCGACCACAGTACTGACGTGAAATATCCTCAGTGGTAGATGGATCATGGGCTCGACTCCCCTTGCCGTCAGGCTAACCGTGGGAGGTTCTCGTGGTCTTCCTCTCCAAGTAACGCAAATGCGGGTTAGTTCCATCAGAAAGTTCTCCACGAAGGCAACATTTCTCTTAATACTTAATCCAGGAGTTCCCTTGTCTTCTGGATGAGGTTCAAAAAGACGAGGCTACGGAGTTGAACATGAGTAGTCGTCAATCCAAAAATTGGGTCGGCTGTTCAACGACGGTTATAAAATAAAATATTACGCCTTTATACAACTTCTTTAAATAGCGATGATAAACATATCACGTATTTATTCCACAATAAATCTCTTGTCATAAGAGAGTCTATCCTTCAATCATTTGTTATGGACCTCCTATTTCCGAGTACAAACGAGCCAGTCTCATCATCAAAAAACTCTAGTACATTACTTTTCAAATATTTGTACAATAACATTTGTACATCTTTTGTACATTTCTTTTGTAAAATTCGAAAAGTGTAAAGAGAGTTTGGTTAGTAATATCGGCGAATGTAAAAATTAACAATTGTAATTATATATCGCTGAAACTTATCTTAATTTTAAAAAACAATTTTTATCTCTTTAAATATTTATTTTATTTTTAGGACCGTCATTGAATAGCCGACCCAATTTTATGGGTTTACGACCCATAATAACTCCATAGCCTCGTCATTTTGAACCCAATCCAGAAGACAAGCGAACTCATGCATCAAGTATTGGAAAAATGAAGAAATGTGCCTTCGTGGAGGACTTTTGATGGAACTAACCCGCATTTGCGTGTGAGGAAAACCACGAAAACTACCCGCGGTCAGCTTCACTAACCGTGTTCGTAACTCTCCGCACTTAGCCATAATTTGCAAAGGGACTCTGGATATATATATATATAGGGGATATATATATTTTGTAAATANCATTTATGAGATATTGTTTTAATTATATTCATAATAAATTCTTTGTAATTGCAATAATGAATAAGAATATTTGTTTTATAATCAATATTAATTAGTTGAAAATATAGAAAACATTAAAATTAAAAAGTTCTTTGGTAGAAGATGTATAGACCAAAAGACCTCATATGTGGAATGCTCAAAAATCGAGAAAAGTACACATGCTTTTCAAAAATCTATAACTTCGTCAAAAAAAATTCAAATCGATCTGAAATTTTTAGGGCTTACATAGAATGGTTGAAACAACTATTTTCTATTAACAGAAAGTATAAAAATTTTTTTTTGCAAGTTTGGCAGGTGTTCAAACTTAACAACTTTTTTCACCATAGGAAAAACCCATGATGAAAAGCTGGATTCAGTTCGCAAAAAATAAAGTATTGCAATTTGATTATATGTAACTAAATGTAGAGGGTTCACTTTGGAACATATCAAATTTTCATGCAGTTTGAATGATTTTTCGCAGTTCTATGAAAACTTAAATTTAGGCCATTTTTTCGTAGATTTCAAAATTTTCGCAAACTTTTGACCGGTAGTGTATATATACATATATATATATAGCATAATAAATAAATACAAAAAAAAAAAGAAAGAAGAAAAAAAAATTTTACAATAAATTGCTATATACAATATTAGACAATACAATATTAGAAAGTACTCCTTTTTACGGATATAATCGTGTGAACTGATGATGAGATTATATCTTTTATTTTTTAGATTTTTATTATTTTTTTTTCTGTTTCCCTTTTTTCATTGTTCTGCATATGTTTTCTCTACATTTTGAACTTATTTTATAAGTTCTATTTACTTGCAGGTTACACGAAGTAAGCAAAACTTATTGTTTTTCTTAATTTTCTTCCTTCAATATATTGTATTACATGAATTTATTTTTTGCTGAAGGTTTTGCACATAAATAAATAAATGATTGTGAAGGAGGAGTGCTGATAATGAAATAATAGCAACAATTACTTCTTCTTCAAGAGCCTGATGACAAGATAAATTTGTTTGAAACATCTCCTCAACCCTTTTTTTCTAAAAACAAAAATAGCATAAAGTGTGTCATTCACTCAAGAAATCACAACACTTCCAAGAAGTTAGAGGGGGTGGAAAAAAAAACTGCAATTTTTCAGTCTTTCCCATTTAACCATCTGGTGTTAGAAAGAAAATAAGTTATTTGAAGAAATGGAAAGTTTAACAATTGGTCGCTGGTTTTTTTAAAAGCAGAGAGATCTCGTGAGATAATTTTTCAGAGAGTGTACAACTTCATTGTTTTTACGAGACTGAAACCGGTTTGCACTTGTCCACGCTTCTGTATCAATGGGTTAACACTGTCATGCCATGCGTTAAACATAAATACAAAAATCTTTTGAATAAAAACACATGACATGTATGTTTAATTATAAAAGTATGGCCTATAAACTCGTGCCAATCACGTCATTATTAAAAAAACTACAGTGCGTCTCATTATTGGACCTCATTATTATAATATGCTCATATAATGCTTGATATAATAAATATATTCTGTATTTATCTAATATATCGTCGAATTTATTCAATCGTAGAATTTATATTTTCTATCGTCTCATTTAACCCATGGATACAGGAACGTAAACAAGTGCAAAACAGTCAGCTTAAAAACAATAAAGCGCTGTATAGAGTATCACCTGAGTAATTAAGATTTTACAAAAGAGTCTCTTAGAGTGTGTCTAATGATAGGGCCCATGGACTGTATATACAAATGAGAAGGGAAAAAAAAAAGGTGTCTTACCATCTATTCCAGCAGATGGCTGTCGATCGACCCATGGTTCTTCAGCATCAAAGTGTGCATCTCCACCGATTCCTTCACCGGGAAAGAAGGCATGGGCTAGAACAACACCTCTGCCATCGAATGCATATCCATCACCGTGTTGTCCACGCTCAAAAGAAACAACGATGTCAGCATCGTTTGCCTCCACTTTACTGAAGGTGAGAAGAGATACATCGCTCCAAACTTTGAACGCTTTCTTCACTTCTGATACCACCAAATCAGAGGATAAACTCTGGGGCCAATATTTGATGCTGAAATAAACACATTCTTCAAATCCATTCCCAAGTTTTAATGATAAATACAATGGTAAAAAGATGAACCGTGATGGTTCAGAGCGTTCGCCTTCGAATGAGGCGAATCGGGTTCGAATCCGGCTTGCACCGATCACAGTGCTGACGTGAAATATCCTCAGTGGTAAAGTCCCTTTACCGTCAGGCTAACCGTGGGAGGGTCTTGTGGTCTTTCTCTCCATGTAACACAAACGCGGGTGAGTTCCATCAAAAAGTCCTCCACTTCGGCAAAATTTCTTCCCTTACTCGATCCAGGAGTTCCCTTGTCTTCTGGATTGGGTTCAAAATGACAAGGCTACGGAGTTGAACATTGAGTAGTCGTAAGCCCATAAGATTGGGTCGGATGTTCAGCGACGGTTATAAAATAAAATAAAATGGTAAAAAGATAGGATCGGAATTTTACATCGAAAATAAAACTAGAAATTAATTAAATGCGCAAAAAAAAAGAACAATGTGCGCAAGATAAAAAACGGAATATCTTGGATAACGTTTGATCGCGTAACCTGATTTTCACGTACTTAGGACTCAATCTTAATGGTTCGAGATATTTTAAGTTACGAAACCAGACACAAATTCTGACCCTCAAAATAGCCGCAATCTGGAAGGTTTAGTTCCAAGGTCAGGAGAGCGATTTTAAAGTTTGGACCTCTTAATGTTCATTTTACTTTTTGCATATTTCGTATAATATTTTATACAAATCGAAGAATTTTTTTAAAAAAAATTATGAAATTCGTTTATCCCTTATAAAAGTAACTTTAAGCATGTATTTATCCTTGTTCATCAATTTATTTAATAATAGTGAAAACATTTTGAATGGCAAGGTATAAAAATTTTACATCATTTTAAAGAATGTCATTTTAAATAACAAAATACCAAATTGGAACGAAATCGGTCGAATAGTTCTCGAGAAATAAATTTTTTTAATAAACGACTTTTTACAGTTCGATAACTGAGATTGTAGATTAGGAGCAACGGAAACATATTTTTTAGTAAAAAGCAGGGGTTTTTTTTCCTTCTATATCTCTAACTGTCTTAAAATGCCAAGAGAATTTTAACGTTTCGAAAATGAATGCAGAAATATGGCGATAGATAAAGGAATCGAAAAAATTTTATATGGAATTTTTTCAATATAAATTGGCCGTATGAAAAAGTTTTTTTAACAAGATTCTTCAATGCATGAGGTCGAAATAAATAACGTGATGAATCTCTATTAAGTAGGAAACTATCTCGCGAAAAAAAAAATTTGGTTAAAGGGTAAATTCTGTGGTATTGGACCCTTCTTATAAATAAAATAAGTATCGATGACGAGAAATCATACTGGTCTAAAATGGTACGGTTCCTTAATTAATAAAAAATACATAGAATTTTTTTTTGATATCATCAGCATAAAATTAACAACAGTTATAAAGATAATTGTCACCTGTAAAATATTTGTTTAATCCTTATTCAAAGATGTAATATATGTTTATCATCTTTTCCTAGCATTATTCTCTGCCACTTTTAAGTAGTTTTAATTCTCATTATTGTTCCCAATGATGAACTTAAAACTAAAATCGGTGTTCTTTTATTATAAATTAATCCTTATGACGCAACATTTTACGATAAATAGTTGTGAACTGAATAACTAAGCGTTTTACAAATAATAACAGTCAACAAGTTTCACTCACTTTTATTATAAGCCTTTGCGTAAAATTATATATATCCAGTCAGCTGTGGCGGAGTTTTGGCAGGACACCACTCCCCCGAAATTATACATACATTACTTGATTAATGAGGATATGATTCAAAATGAAGATAAAACAAAGGAAAATTATAGACATATGAAAAAAAGAGGTGGGAAATAATAATAATAAAAATATAACAAACAACTGGGAAAAAAAAGGGATAAAATTTTTTTTAAAAATCCGGAAAATAAAAGATATAATCTTTTCACCAGCCCACACGATTATATCCGCAAAAACTTATTGTTTTTCTTAATTTTCTTCGTGTTTTTTTGTATTTATTTATTTTGTTGTATATATATATATATATATATATTGTACTGCCGTTGAGAGAGAAAAAAACGTCTTAGTACTAGCAACGTTATAGGAGCTTGACGTATTAAATCTTCAATTTAAAGTTTCAAAAAAAATTTTAATTTCAACCGACGACGACAAACCATTAATTAAAAAATATGTAAATATGATCTATTTGTCAGCTTACTTTGCTCTTCAATGTTTAATTAGTTTAATTATTAAAAAATGTCTCCAACTTTAGTTGTTCATTTACTACCATTTTGCAAAATCTTTTTCAGCGACCGTCTTGAAATCTTTTTTGAATCTTTAAATTGAATTATACATATATTATCCCCAATAGAAAAAGTGAAAAAACATTTTGAGATCTTAAATGCTTCGATGTAACCATCTGTCTGTTTATTGTGAAGGAAAAAATAAACAAATCCCCCATAATACAGTGACTCATAATTACCCCCAAAGGCTGTATTATTGACTTACTCGATGAGTAGTAAAAAAAAAAATGTTATGACTAATTTATGGGTAACATTTAAACAAATCAAAATTAAACCTGATGCACCATTCCTTGTTTATTTATTCAATTCCAACTATTAGTTCACACTGTCCCCCCCCCCCCTACATCTTATTCACATTTGAAATCGTTCATAAAATACTTTTTATTCTTCCACTTAAGTTCAAAAATATTTTTTTTTTTTTGAACTTGTAGGAGATGTCACTTGAAGTTAATGCAGTTTTTTTTTTTTTTCTTTCAAATATCAATTCAATAATTAAATAGGGTTGAGGGAAAAATGAAATGGAATTTTCTTTTCTGATGGGTTAAGCGTTAGTCATTGTTTTAAATTTGACCCTAAGTGATTGAGTTTTTCGCCTATTTTAAAAATAACATTGAGTGATAATTTCCAACATTTAGCTCTATTTAAACAACAAAAAAAGTACATTGCTCGCATTTAAATATTTAATTACTTTATATTCGTTGCGTGAGAAAAATTCAATACACAAACAGTGCGTGGTTCACGTCACCCAATTTATTCTTTTATAGTTGTCTGAGCTTTTTTTCTTTCAATTCCAACTATTAGTTATCACCCTCTATCTTTTTCACATTTTCAATTGTTCATGAAATACTTTTTTATTTATCTGTTCAAGTTCAAATACATTTAAACTTGTAGTGGGTGACACTTGATGTTAATGCACTTTTTTCAAATAGTAATTCATTCATTAAATTTAATTAACACTAGGTTGCCTAAGGGAAGTCATTTTGAATGCTTTTTAATTTGCAAAAACAAAATGTACAAATAATAATGCGTAGATTAATATTTTCTTTCCAAGTGAAGGAAATGCTTTTATTGTTAATATTTACTAATAACTTGTTGCATAACTGTAAATAATATTAAAAAATAGTTAAACAAATTTCTTTACACATTCTTTCAGTCATTTTCACTGCTTTTGGGCAATATAGTTATATGCTAAGTTTCAGTCAGTTAATCAATTTTAGTTTTGTACGGGAGAAAAAAAGTTGTAATTATTTAATTGTAATTAAAATAAAATTTTTCTTTCTTGACCTATGTAGGAATTGACTTTAAAAATATTTTTTTAAATGACTTGATTTTTTTTTAAAGCTCATAATACTGTCATTCAAGATTTTCAAACTAAGAATTGCCTCGCATGACCCCCATAGACGCTTTTAGTAGATGGCTGTATCATCAATGAATAAAAGCCATCTCTGTTTATGGCCTTTCAAATTGAAGCATTTCATAGGTCAAACAAAGCGATTATCTTGGCTGCAAAATTAAAATGTCTGTCGCCAAATTTTGAGTCAGCTGCTGTCCTTGGCAAACACAAATGACTCACAGAGGACCGTTGAACCCTCAGAAAATCATGAATAAAACAAACAATTTTCAGAATGATCATCTTCCGACTGGAAGGAGGGGAAAAAAAAATACTTTTACTACTTATAGAGCATTTCCGGTGACACAGGCCTGCATGCAGCAGTTCGCAAATGGTGTTCCCCGGAACCCTAAGGTTCCGAGAAATAGAACATTTTTTTAACTCATGATGATTTTGGAAATCTGCAGCTAAATTTGTATCGAGTTAGTAATCTAGTATTTATTTAATATTTTTGTTATTTTTAGGCAATTTAAGATTATATGTAAAATTATAATTATTAGGGGATACTGTATTGATTTTATGTGACTAAAACCGGTTTGCACTTGTTTATGTTCGTGTATCAATGGGTGAACATTGTCATGCAATACATTAAAAATAAATAAAAATTGGGAGTCTATAAAAAATCTCCTAATAAACCCACGATATGTGTGTTTAAATATAAAAGTATTGCCTATAAAATCGTGTCATTATTAAAACACTACAATGGGTTTCATTATTATAATATACTCATATGATGCTTGATATAATAAATATTCTAAATATATCGTCGAATGTATCCTATCCTCAAATTTATATGATATATATCGTCTCATTTAATCCATTGATACACGAACGTAAACAAGCGCAGACATGTTAGAACCGCGTAAAAGCAATAAAGCTGTATAGAGTAATCACCTGATCATTAAGATTTTACATAGAATCTTATAATTTGGCCAGAGACTATATATTGATTTGAGCATAAACGTTGCATTTTTGGCCTGGCAACTATAAAAGCTGTTTTTTAGACTATAGAAAAAATGGGGTTTAAGAAATTTATATTTTATTTTATTACCCATTGGCAAAATGGGTGTTGGTTTGCATTTGATGTCGTCCACACACTTTGTTCAAGAGTAATAGTAAACACTACGCATGCGTTGTGAGGGCGACCGCTGCTGTTTGATAATTTTTTTTTTATTTCGATTTCACTTTTGATATGCATTTATTTTCAATTTTGATAATTTGATTTAGGTATTGTGATAATTCGCTTTTAATTTTGATATGATTAATTTATTACACTCCTATTAT